GGTGTGTGTGTGTGTGTGTGTGTGTGTGTGTGTGTGTGTTGAAGATTCAGGGTTTCATTACATTAAGAAGTAGAGTTTAGTAGTGACTTCCATTTAAAAACCTGTCAGATTTCTTTTTGTATTTTCTACACCTTTAATCCTCAACTGTTATTAGGTTTATTTCCAATAATGTATATATGATGAGTAGGCTGAGATTCATTTATGTTGTATCATATTCCATGATTATTATATTAGACACTTTTAACATTTTTACTTCCCTCTGTTTTGATATGCCTTTTTTGGGTGTGTATGTGTATGATTTAAACATAGAGCATCTCAAATATGTATTTCATTACCCTAAAAAGCTTTAAATTACCACATATCTTATTTAAGATTAATTGGAAATAATTATATCTTCATATATCTGATCATAATTTTAAAATAATAGAATGTGTTAATTTCGCTGGTACTTTTTTGTATTATTAAATTTTTGTTTTAAAATGAGTTTCTGCATTTGCCTAAGGAAACTTGGTCTTAGAGAAAATTGTTAAATATTGGCTCTTTTCTTTTCTTCCAGGTTTCACCTTGCTTAAATGTCTTGTCACGATTATTGTTTAGCAGTGACCCAGATGTATTAGCAGATGTGTGCTGGGCCCTTTCTTATCTCTCTGATGGACCCAATGATAAAATTCAAGCAGTCATTGATTCTGGAGTCTGTCGAAGATTGGTGGAACTTTTGATGTAACTATAATTTATGATAAATAATTGTATGATTATGTATTAAGTCTAGCAGTTAGAATAATGGCCTTGTAAATATCTCAAGAGTCACCATCTTCAGGAAGGATTAAAAAGCCATCAACCCCACTTTTCAGAACAGCTATAATGCTGAAAAGCTATAATGCTTAAATTTGCATCTCATATCCTCTAGTTGGAACTAATCATTTCATTAATATATTTCATTAATTTTAATCTCTTAATGAGTGGGAGGGATTTAATTCAGCAGGTATATATGGAATTCCTATTGCCTCTAGTGTTGTACAAGATATTGTTAATGAAGTATAGAACACAGTACTTGTTCTTACAGAACCTGTAATCTAGTTAATTGTTCATTACAATAGCTAACTTATGTAAAAGTCCATGTAATGAAAACATTTAGTATTTCACTTGTGTTAGTATTTCTCTTGCTGGGCTGTTATTGCTACCTTCTTTAAAAAGAATATATTTTCTATAAAAGAAGTTAAAAACTTGTAAGACAACTTGTTTTAAAAAGATAGTTTCTTAGAGTGGCTGGGTGGCTCAGTTGGTTGAGCATCTGACTCTTGATTTCAGCTCTGATCATTATCCCAGGGTCGTGGGATCAAGCCCTTGTTGGGCACTGTGCTGAGTTTGGAGCCTGCTTAGGATTCTTTCTCTCTCTTCCTCTGCCCCTCCCCTGCTTCCTCTCTTGCTC